CACATATTACATAGCCTCTGATTTAGAGTTATGGTGGTAAAAACTTCAGAAGGTCATAACTTTTGTTATGAACATCAGATATCGAGACACTCCAAAAATGAAAGTTGTTAGAAATGTAGTGGGAAATACATTGGTAAGTTCTCTAACATGCGAGATAGCTCAACCTGCTCTAAAAATACAAATCTATCTTCAGACTCACAAAATATAATTTTTTAAAACATTTTTAATGTAATAATCAATGAATTTTAAAATAACAACCTAACTTAGATGTTAAAATTCATAATAATGTCTAATAATGTTATTTTATTGTGAACAATATTTTTTTTATTAAGTTGTAATACTACTACAAAATTTACCCATGAGTTATGTTTTAATTAGTGAAAAAAAAAAAACTGTTACATGAGTTTCGGTTTCTGGCAACCTAACGATGCATATAACTTAACCAATGGTTGATTTTTTATTGTTTGAAAGTGAATTCAACAAATATAAATTCAACTCGAGAACATGAATTATGCATATGCTACTTCAAAATACAATTTACTAAAATCCGTAAATATAATTAAGATCTATATCTCAATGAAACTGAACAGAAACTTTTAAGTTAAAAGATGTGTTGTGATAAATATATTATAGATGAGGATATTTGGACATCTATCAAATAAAACACATCTATTAATATCTCAAAATAGTAATAATGTTTTCATCAAATTTATTTCATTTTTAATTTAAAATTCTAATATATGTTATATTATTAAAATGGGTGGTAAAATGAATGTAAATTTTGTCAAAAGTTTTTAAACTGTTATTATCTCATTTTCATCTTTAAAGTAAAAATTACATTCATCTCATTTTTATGTTTAGTGGACATAAAACTTTTGTTTCATCTCATTCCTACTACACAATGAGTATACCTAATTTGTGCATTCATACCTTTTTTTTCTTTGAACTATTTTCAAATGATTAAATTAATGAATTTTTAAAAGAAAATAAAAAATAGAAAAAAACATATTATATCATCAAATATTTTACATATATAATGTAGAATATTTAGAAAAAAAATGATAACAATATACATTTCAAATCAAGAGTAATTAATAAGAATTGAATAAAAATGAAAGAATTATATAAAAAATTACATAATTTTAAGTAGATAAAATTTTATAACTACCGAAACATTTATTAATTTTGAATACATTAATGAAAGAAGGTTCACAAAGTTAAAAAATATTTCTTAAGAAAATATAAAAAGAAAACAATTCAAGTTTGTAATATTTCAATTGTCTCTTTACATAATTTTTCCTAAATTATAATGATATATATATATATATATATATATATATATATATATATATATATATATTAAACTAATAATAACTTGAATATAAATATTGGTATGATATTAAATTATTATATGATAGTAAATCAAAGATCTTTATATAATTTAGTTTTGAAATTAAATTTATGAGAATGAATTAGAAAATAAAAATTATTATTACAATATTTTAACTAATGAAAAATAATAAATAAAAATATTAAAGAAAAGGCAAAAATATAAAATGTGTGTTTTATAAACAATTTGATATATCATAAAATTAAGATTTAATCATTCAAATAATTCATATTTTCAGCTACTTTTCTCAAATAAGTTTCTCATTTTTTTTTCTCAATCGAGTTATATTTTTGAAAAATTGAAGCAATTAGGTTCTTGCCATTAGTTTCGTACTAACATCGTTAAGAGGATGTCACGTGTCAGCTAATGGGTTTTTTGAATTTTTAAAATTTTTATTTTTGTTTAAAAAAAAATTGCCACATGTCAAGCTGATATTGTGTCACATGAAATTGACTGCATGACATGGCATTGATGGTGTCACATGTCGTTGCATACTCAATTTGGTCCCAATATTTTTATTTTGTCTTAGTTTGATTTGTGTATTTTTATTTTGTTTCCATTTAGTCATTTTTTTAACTAAACAATTTTATTACTCTCCAAATTCAAATAAAAATTAATTTGTGTATAAATCTTTACAATTTTTTTATACAAATTAAAGTTTTATTTTTCTTGTACTAACATTAAAAAATTAATAAAAATCAGGAGCTGACACATGACATCTCTTTAACTATGTTAGTACGAAATTAGCGTCAAGGAACTAATTCTATTATTTTTCAAAATTTGGGATCCAATTGAGAAAAAAAAAATCCTTATTTAAAAGAAGTTACAAAAAATATAGACATTTGAATAATTAAATCTAAAATTAAATTAAAAAATGTATAACTAAATATATTATAATATAGAAAATATATCAGAGATTTAATAAACCTTTCAAACACATGAATATAGTTAAGTCAGTAATAAAAATGGTTTGAATGAAAGAAGAAATTATTCAAAATTATACAATAATTAAAGATCAAATAACAAAGAAGACAACTTTTTTATGTTAAGTAGTAAATAAAGAATTTACATAACTGAACTCTTGAAATTAAACATTCTTATGAGAAAATAAAAAATAAATAAAAATAATAAAAAAATGAAAATAATTGAATGTGAGATCTAAAATTAATAAGATACTATTTAAATATAATTATACAAAGAAATATTGTAATTTATATTGTGATGATAAAAAAACCTTAAAAAAACAAATATAGAATAAATCAAATAATTAAAAGAAGAAAGAAAAAATATGTAAAAAAAATTACAAAATAAATACTGAAATAATTAATATATAATATTTTAAATTATCTAAGAAATTAAAACAGTGAGGTATTATTCGTATTCATTCCCAATAATCTAAGAAATTTCTGTAAAATAGACTCGAAAAGTACTTACATAGAAATATATGGGGTTAAATATGTTTTTAGTCCCTGAACTATCAAGCGATTTTGGTTTTAGTCCCTACTCAAAACATTGATGGCATTTAGTCCTTGTAGTATTAAAACATGTAAAAATAGTCCTTAAAAATGGACGGCGTTAACTTTTGGTTGATTTGGCAAACGGCAATGCCACGTCCTTTCCGCCTTCTTCAGTGTTCTCTATCTGCCAGATCAAGTCACCAACACATGATGTGAACCCGATTGGAGGTGCTGCCGGAAATACGGGTCGCCACCACATGGACGCTGCCTCAGCCACCACACCGCTGTCCACGGTGTTGCTGGTACTTGCGCCGAAAAAGCCACCGCCCTTCACGGCGGACCACCACCACTTTGCCCCTTCTCCTTCGCGCGAGAGGAAGACGCATTCACCCTCTACAGCGCATCCAACCCATCTAAAAAGACACTAAATCTTGTTTATATAACAGAAGGGGAAATTAACGAAACTGCATGAATCAAACAGAAAATGACAAAGGTGTGTATGTATGTATGAATGAAAATCATTGGATTTGAATAGAAAAAATTGAGTAAAAAGTTGAAATGAAAGATGAATGTTAATTGTGAATGGCAGATGAAGTTCCTTTGTGAGAAGTTGCAATGAACCCTTCTCTCCTCATCTTATCTTCCTTGGATTTTCTGCAGAAAACGGCCCAACTCCTCATATTCATACGAAGAATATAAGAAGACCAAAACCAAAACATATGAACATATCCACAGTTGTGCCGCTTCTCTGAGAGTTTCCACCAAGTTGACCTTCAACTCTATGTTTATCGGCTTTTAGCAGGTCATCGTCTTCCTCTGATGGTTTACATGTCTTGCTGAGGTTATTGGTTTGAGTGTTTGTCTGTAAGAATACATTTAAAGGTTACATTGAAATTTCCCCTCAAATAAGTATCAGAAAAGTAGTTACTAGCTATTGTTTATTATTTATGGGATCCGCGAGTCTTAATCTTTCCAGTGAAAATGCAAACCAATTAATCCAGTTGCTGAAGGTGAAAGAGAAAACACAAAATTGACACATAACAAATCCGGTGAAGCCTGTACTCCACTCCCGGCGACAGTTGCCCCAACCGGATTCCGATGCCAAACCCCACAGTCTACAGTGCATCCAAGCCATTCACGCCGCACCCAGTTGCCGCCTCTCGGAGGATTTATTGGGTTAGGCATTTCTCTCGGAGGAAGATGAACATAGGGGTTTTCACGATATAAGCAACGTGGCAGATAGAGAACAGTGAAGCTGGCTGAGGACGTGGCATTGCCGTTTGCCAGATCAACCAAAAGTTAACGCCGTCCATTTTTAAGGATTATTTTTACATGTTTTAATACTACAAGGATTAAATGCCATCAATGTTTTGAGTAGGGACTAAAACCAAAATCACTTGATAGTTCAGGGACTAAAAACATATTTAACCCAAATATATGTATTTGCCATCATATTTTCCATATATTATATTTGAAAACGAAACTATAACATCTCCATGTAATACGAGTGCGATGAATAACATTGGATCCAAACTATTTTCCAATCTTCATTTCATTTTATTTTATTGTTGGCCGACCCTCTCAGAAAATGAAAAGACGTTTACTTATACCTCTGACATGTCTATATCTGCAACACATATAATTTAGTGAATATTTTTTGGGAGATAAATAACAATCATACACTTCATTTCTGGTAGAGAGATGAAAAGGTGAAAAGAAATTAACTGCAATTATTTTTGAAAGAAAAGGATAAATAAATAATCATAATACGAAGAACAGTAACATGTGTATTTTTATTATTACTTTTAATTTTAGAGTCATAATGTTTAATTGTAATTATGATTATATAACTTAATATTCAATGTGCGATGTAAATGTTGATGCGAGTAATAAATATAATGTGAGTTAAATTTTTTAAAATGAATAAAAATGTGAGAAATAAAATACAAAAAAGTACAGAATTAAAATGGAAAATTACTCAAATGAGGGCTTTGTTTGTTTGAAGGAAATTCATACAATTCACCTAGTTGGAACCCACCTATCACAATCATTGTGGAGTTTTGTAGGACCCATGCCCCTACCATTTGGGCCTTTTCCCCTAATACTCAAACAACTTCCATCTCTCTCTCTCTCTCTCTCTCTCTCTCTCTCTCTCACTGTCTTCTTTTTGACTTGGACTTTCTCTCCCACACCAACTCTCTCACGCAATAATCTTTTCTTCACTTCTGCAACAATAATACAACAAATCATACATATCCTCCCTTCAACATCGTCATCCTCCTTCTCGCTCTTCAACTCGTAACTCACATCTCTTTCCTAACCTGCGCACCCCCACCTCGCCCATAGGCGTAATGCGCCACCACCATCACTTCCACTGGTTGAAAGCCTTCACCACCTTCTATTTTCTCTTCTTCTATTCCGCTGCAGCCGTAACAACTCTCATCCCACAACCCAGTAAGGGCTCCCTTCAACAAAGACAAACCCACCCCACTTCTTTTTTCACGCTTCAGTTCTAACTTCTCACGTATTTTCTTTTTTTCTTTTTGGTTTTCTCAGGTGGTGGGACTGTGAATCACCTCAACCGGGAAGAGAAACAAAATGGGTCACCGGCGGTGACGGAGGAGAGACTTGTGGCTGGGGGAAAGAGATTCGGCGGGCCGGGGTCGTCGCCGCCGTCGTGCAGATCCAAGTGCGGTTGGTGCAGTCCTTGCATACCGGTTCACGTTCCAGTCCAACCCGGTTTAATAATTCGCCTCGAGTACTACCCAGAAGCATGGCGTTGCAAGTGTGGGAACAAGCTTTTTATGCCATGACGTTAATAAATTAGCATATATAGTTATGGATTATAAAAATCGTAGTACAAAAGATGAACACAAACGTTGGCAGAAGCGAGCAGGAGAACATTGCAGACACTAGCAGCAGCCGTCTTAAATTTTCCCTTTGGGGTATTTGTTTATTTTTATCTCAGTGTTAGTGCCTTTCATGCACTGATTAATGCTGCTGAGGTTGGGTTGTTTAAGAGTACTATGTTTATAGTATTATTGATGTTTATAGTATTGAATTTTGGATTAACCTTTTGAGGGAAGGAGGGAGGGACAGTCAGGAAGGGAGTGTTGGGAATGTAAGATGTTCAGGTGTGATTACCGAGACGAATATCTTAAACCTTTCTCTGCTTTTAACACACTACACACTTCTACTTCTCTCTATCTATTGTTTCCCTTCTCCATGCATCACCCCACAATCCTCTATATATTATTACAAGTCAATGAAGGTTGTAAGCTGTAATTATGACGAGTAGTTTCTCTTCAGATAACCATCGTACGGATACATAGCGGAGGACGGAGCTAACATGTATTTGAATGATGCTGGATGGCTACCAGGGTTAACTTGCTCAACTTTTGTTTGTATTTGTAGGGGTTGAACCTTACTGTTTTAAGGCATTTAGGTTTTTGAGGTTGCATTCTTAATTTTTCATTGTTTGGATTTTGTACTTTTGAGGATTTGTTATCACGCGACCTGTCTCATCGCTCTCAGTGATTGCTTCGCCGAGAGTGTTTAATTTGAACTATGTGAGAGTTGTTTATATGCGCACGCGCCGGTTCCCCCTTCTCCCCCCTTTCGTTTTCCATTAAATGTGCACATGCCAACAAGTGGTGTTTTCACCTCTGCAGAAAGCAACGTTTGACACAGCAACAAGTTCGGAGTGATATACTTACCATTATATGGGGAGAATGGACGACGAAGTAACAAAAGAAATACAGGTCATATGGGGATGCATTTGTTTCTTTCATTAGTGTCTGATAATGGACGAGAGTTATTGTTTTTTGACCGTACAAGTTGCCATTTTTCCTCATTCATATTCCTTTCATTCTCAGGCGACGTAACATTTAACCTAACGAAGGGAATTCCTCCTTTTCTCTTTGTTTGGAAGCATCAGTTTGAGTTTCCCACCGGCCAGAATGACCACTTAAATTCAAACCCTATATTTTAACAATTCCAAGTGCATCTGTTTGTGTAACATGGAAGCCTGGATTAGTTCAATTAAATATATGAAGTTTAAAAAGTACGTAATCATGTTCAATATATACAAGGTGGGTTCTATTCCATATAACTCGAAGGAAATTTATGCATAAACACTTGTTATTATGCCCAAAATGCGGGGGTTAGCGTTTTGTATCATAAATATTTTACACGATTATTACTCGTTGTGTAGTTAACGGGCGAGACGGTAATCTTGTCGTAACCATCGATTCGTCTCCAATATAACGCTCTTATGATTGAAAGTGAGATTTGATTTTAAAAAGGTTTCAATTATTGTGAGATGTTTTAGCGATGAATGGAACCAATATTTCTGATTTTAGCCTGTTCACTTTTTGAACGGGGGTCCATGCTTATACTGAGGAAACCAAACACGAAGCTAGGCCCCATGATTCAAATTGCGTATTTCTGAAAATGCCATGCACATCTTCCTCCACCATTGCGTAAACTGGTTGACAAATGGATTAGTGATGCACATCAAACGGCGGAGAGACACATTATCGCACTCTTTCCTGTTTACTTTTGGGAGCAAATTGAAGTTGATGTGTGTTTTGAATGAACCTAATTCATAAATCCTAGATTAAGATATGTGTGACTTTAAAATTGATGTTTCCTAAAGAAGAATAAAATAATGGGCCAACAATTATGGATAGATGATAGTATTATTGTAGTGGATGACATGTGAGTGACGAGTGTTTCGAAAGAGAAGAAGAGAGAATTGGGGAATTCCCCCTAAAAATGCAGTACACACACGAGGGGTAGAAAGCTCCTTTCTCTGCAATTGGGTTGAACAGAGATACAGAGTTGCTTTGGCTGGGTACCCCTGTGTCAGTGTTGCTTGTATCAATTGAGGTAAAAGTAAAAACTGGCAAAAGGAAAGCCCTCATTCACAAAATAACGCAACAACTCTCTCTACCCACTTAACCCTTCTTTCTTTCAAACCACTATTTCATCTCGAACATTTCCACTCCTAAAACAGCAATCTTTCTGTAGGGATGGATAATAATTACTAACACCCATCAATCCAATAAGTACATACATTTTTTTCTCTATTTGCGTTACTATATTAATCATTTTGTGTATCCATTAACATATATGTATATATATGTAACATTTTTATGGTTTTAAAAAATTAGCTGGCACTGATACCCAGAGAGAAATGTACAGCCCGAGAAATGTGTCTGCTTTTTCACGAGGCCTGGCAGTGTTGTTGTTTTTTGTTTGTTTTTTTTCTTCTCTTTGCACTTATAATATGTCACAGTCCCACAGAAAAACATGTATTTAGTAGTTTTATTTCAGCGTTTGACAAGACAGATTGACAATGAGACGGGTAATGGGTGAAGCAGTTTTGCTCCAAAAATTGACATTCAAAATCCTGAGGCTTAATCAGGATGCCCATTAAACCACACACATGAACATGACAGCACCCCACGTTCTTCAAAGTCTGGTTAAGTTTCTGAAAAAGAGGGAGAGATAACTCGAGATGTGATGTCTGATTAGATTGTATTGTTGGGATTGCCGGTGAACTGGGAAAGTGGTTTTAGCCCTCACCACACTCACTCACTCACATCTTTATTCCCATCTATCAAAATCTATCTTTCAGACAGACCTCTCTTACCCACCACCTTTCCCAGTCCTGTTTGACCATCAAACCCTGATCAGATTCACCACACTTTTTTGGGTATTTCATCTGCTCGTCTTATTTCTAGGAAATTTCATTGTCAATGCAGTGAAACTGAATGCACGTCCTATTGTGTATACGCATGTTTCCTTTGAAATAGATGGTTCTTGCTTGTGCCTCTTTTTATTTCTGTAATTGGATTTTGCTTTGTGGGGTGGTAGTCAATGCAGAGGTCACAGTCTTACAGGACGTAGTATATACAACCATTGCCTTCCGACCCACGAAGAATAATCAGATAACATGTGAAGTGATTCGGATCCATAAAATTTGACAGACACCGAATATATGAGCATTTATGTTATTAGGTATCAATTGGACACCAAAAAGATAAAGTTGGTTGAGATCACTGTCCGGAAACATTACATTGAAAATGAAGCATATTATAGTACTTACCATAGCTCCCAAGTCTAAATTATTGAATTCCGAAATAGAAGTATACTTGCCCCTAAAATGATGGTTTAGCAGCACCTCTGGACCCCTACATGTGAGAGGCTTCAAGGTTTAACTCATCTTCCACCAAAGTCTAATGAAAGTCTCATTCCATCTATCATCTTCTGGACCCACATTATCGCAAATTAAAACAATTCCAAATTTGCTTTTATATATATCTATAAATTAGAGTGGAAGATGGATTTCTTACAACTGAACTACTCGCAAAATCTCTGTCAGCAACATAATTCAAATTCACGAGTCTGATAATTATGAAGAGATAACATTTTTGAAAACTTCTTTCGTACCTTATTTCATCTATGTGAAACTTCTGACATTTCTTTTTCACGAAGTCTTTCAATTCTAAGAATAAAAACCATAACTTTTATTTAGAATATATATTTTTCTTCTTCTTCAAGCTTCATTTTTTATAAGACTTTTGATGTTTGTTATCAGACTACTAATGCTCCGTGCACTAGCAATTCTTGTGAAATATTTAAAATAATAAAATCAATACAAAATATATATAATTTTTCTTTTAAAAAAAATACAAACCTTGTATCGTATAATTTATGCAATGAAAATTAAAATAAATAATTGAATAATAATAATTGTAACATCCAAAATATGAGCTAAATTTTTTAAATCTTTACGGATCAATACTCAAAATATCATACTTATTTATGTAGAATAAGTTTAAAAACTATTACAATATTTAATATTATATTTTAAAATGAAATTTCGTAAACTTATCAAAGTATTTTAAAGTATATGAGAAATAGGTTTGATATAATTTTTTAACGATAAAGATTTAATTTTCTAAACTATCGCTATCCGCAATTAGTGACTCCCGCTCCCAAACTACTTACTCGTCTACTCTTAAAAGAAAAGTGGAAAGAAATACATCATATTATAAATGGTGTGAGAAATAATTAGAAATTTGTACCATTATATTGTGTTCAAAATTATTTTTGTTAAATACTCACGCAGTTTTCTTTCTTTTTCATCCACATTACTCAATCACTCATTGAAAGATTTTTATAAAATCTAGCAAAAAACTTAAATGGTTCAAAGTATAACATGACTTCAACGAGGAATACATCTAAAAGTTGTTTCTAGAAGACTAATATATTAAATGGACTTATGACACTTTGCAGATGCTTGCTTTCAAATTTTAGTGATGTTCTAACAAGATTAATGTTCCCAACCAAGAGATAACATAGTTAACTTCACTAACTTTTTAATTATGATTCTCTTTCATCATTATACAATACAACAAAAACAAAAATATGTCCATAGAGTATAAAAACAAAAAGCACAAACTTACATTCAATTAGACTCCCAAATAATTTAAATATTTTGTATATTATAAACTCTCAATTTAAAATAAGATGATCAGCTTCACCTATTGATGACCTCCTATAATCACTTTAATACACTTCACAATTCAAAGGATCCTACACAAAGAAACATCCATTTCACCATTGGATCATACCATTCAACTTATAAAATAACATAAACTCAATTTAAGCGTAAAATAACTATATTCAACCAAAAGAAGTTGCATGCACTAACGTATCAAATTGAAACTCAATGAAAAAGAAAAATAAACTTACCCAAATAAAAAAAATTATCGATAACTTTCATAATACTCACCAATAGAAACATTTTTACAGAATGTGATATTCAAAAGAATGAAAAGTGATCAAGCAATTGAGAACAGAAAACCACAGAAAAAAATAGGAAAAGAGTTTCAGACATGGCTGTTTTAAGAGAAGAGAACTCAATTTTTTTTAATCTTTTTATAACTTAAACTTTTAAATATAATTTTATTTTTAGTATTCCTTCTCCAACTTTCCTATTGCTCTTAAACTAAATTCCCGATTTCTAACAATAATAATTCGAATTAATAAATTTGATGGATTATATAAATTTATAGTTCATACAGAACTTCTACTCTTTATAATTATTTTTATGTGTATTTAATGATTTTGTATAAATTAAAACTTGAAATTGTTAGTTTAGATTACAAACTTATTTAACCTTACTTATTTTCAGTTGAAAACAATGTTCGAAAATTTTTATATAACAGTTTCCTCATTATTGAGTAATTCTTGGCAAGCCGTTGACCTTTTGGATTATTTTTTTTAATGAATTGTATGAGTTCTCGGAATTATTGACATAACTAATTCCGATTTAACCTACGAAACTAACGTACTGGTCTAATTTTAGAAACTAAACCACATTATATTTTTGCTGTTTTGATCTAGGTAGTTGTGATCTTGATGATAGTACGTGACCATACGGCAATAAATGAAAGCGTTGTGCTTGCACATACAGTGGGTACCCTCAAGATTCTCTCTGGCAGCAGGTGGGCAGCATCATCATGCCTTGCATTTGGAACTACGCTTAATTAAACACCTTCAAAATACCATCGTTTGCTTTGGGAAAATTTTTTGTTTGAAAAATTAGTGTTTCGCCTCATAAGATCACAAGCAATGTAAAGAGCAAAATGAAATAATTTGGTTATCCGCAAAGGCTGACAATGAAAAGATGATGAACAAGTGTTAATGGTAGTTGTAAGGAAGAAAAGAAAACTACTGAGTGATTAGATGGAATACGATTGGAGCTAAGATGATGGAAGTGTAGTTTGTGTATGGCTATGGAATCTCTGACAGAGTGAAACA